ACCCTCCTCAGCCTCCCAAAGTGCTGGGATTACAGATATGTACTGGTTACTTAACCTAACTACTTCAAAAGGATCAACTATGAAAAATGCACGAAAGTCTCAGGACGCTTTTTTATGAGCCCTCAGAAAAATTGCCTATTTTAAACTTGCATGAAATCATTATAAAGGGACTTTGGAAAAGAATTGAACTCTGCAAAGATTTCTTAAAATAGTTACAATGGGCCGGGTTTGGTGGCTCACGCCTGTAATCCCAGCACTTTGGGAGGCTGAGGCAGGTGGATCACCTGAGGTCGAGAGTTGAAGACCAGCCTGGGCAACATAGTGATACCCCATCACTATTAAAAATACAAAAATTAGCCAGGTGTGTTGGCGCACACCTGTAATCCCAGCTACTCGAGAGGCCGAGGCACAAGAATCACTTGAACCTGGGAGGCAGAAGTTGTGGTGAACAGAGATCACACCCTTGCACTCTCGCCTGGGCAACAGAGTGAGACTCTCTAAAAAAAAAAAAAAAGAAAAAAAAAGATAGTTACAATGTAATAATAAATTACATTTTTATTTCTCACAATTCTCACCTGTATGTATAGCTGATTGTTCTTTTTACAAAATAAAGCTATTTGGAAGAAAATAATGTCTACCAGAATTACTACTGCTCTTCCTCATATGTTGTTAATGATTTCCTAATGTCAAATTATGAGAACCATCATTATATGTTTGTTTGGAAATTAAAATTCTCATGTATTGGAAGAATATATCCTTTTTACATTGTATTTTATCTTTAATTTAGGTTGTGAATTTCAAAATAGATAGCCATGTTTTGTTTGTTTTATCAAAAAATCACATTTTTATAATAGTGATGCCAACGTATAGCAAGAAGAGCTCTTTTTATTGTATGTGGGGATCCTGGCTACATCAGGCTTTCTCTCATTTCTCCCCATTTTTACTATTTAGGCCTCTGGCATAAAGAATAAACGTCGGCTTGTAATCCTAGCAGTTTGGGAGGTCAAGATAGGCAGATTGCTTGAGTCCAGGAGTTTGAGACCAGCCTCGGCAACATGGTGAAAACCTCTCGGCCGGGCACGGTGGCTCCTGCCTGTAATTCCAGCACTTTGGGAGGCCGAGGCAGACAGATCGTGAGGTCAAGAGACCGAGACCATCCTGGCCAACATGGTGAAACCCCGTCTCTAGTAAAAATACAAAAATTAGCTGGGCTTGGTGGTGCATGCCAGTAGTCTCAGCTACTCGGGAGGCTGGGGCAGGAGAATCGCTTGAACCTGGCAGATGGAGGTTGCAGTGAGCCGAGATTGCACCACTGCACTCCAGCCTGGCAACAGCAGGCGACTGTCAAAAAACAAACAAACAAACAATTTCTATTAAAAAAATGCAGAAATTAGCTGAGTGTGGTGGCACACACTGTACTCCCAGCTACTGGGGACGCTTAAGTGGAAGGATCACTTAAGCTAGGGGAAGTCAAGGCTGCAGTGAGCTGTGATTAGGCTGCTGCACTCCAGCCTGGGTGACAAAGCGAGACCCTGTCTCCAAGGAAAAAAAAAAAGAATAAAAGCCAATTAGCATCATTATTTAAAAAAAAAATCTTACAGGGCACTTTATTCAATTAAATTGAGCAAGGTTTAATTTATTCATGTAAACTGAGTTTTGTTGTTAACTGGATCCTATCCTCCAGTTTTTATTCATTTTTCATGAAACGAATTTATCATCAGTATCTACTGCAGTTGACCAGGCACGGTGGCTCATGCCCGCAATCCCAGCACTCTGGGAGGCCAAGGCAGGTGGATCATCTTGAGACCAGCCTGACCAACATGGTGAAACCTTGTCTCTACTAAGAATACAAAAATTAGCCAGGCATGGTGGCGCACACCTGTAATTCTAGCTACTTGGGAGGCTGAGGTGGAAGGATCTCCTGAACCTGGGAGACAGAGGTTGCAGTGAGCCGAGATCATGCCACTGCCCTCTAGTCTGGGCCACAGGGTGAGACTCCATCTAAAAAAAAAAAAAAAGAAAGAAAAAAAAAGTACTGCACTGATTTCCTACTGCTTCTGTAACAAATGACCGCAAAGTCAATGGCTGAAAATGACTCAAATGTATTGTCCTACAGTTTTGGAGGTCAGAATTCTGAAACTCTTCTCAATGAGCTAAAGCTGAGGTCTCAGCACAGCCTCCCAAGTAGCTGGGGCCACAGGCACACACCACCATGCCTGGTTAACTTTTTGATTTTTTTTTTTGTAGAGATGAGGTCTCACTATGTTGCCCAGGCTGGTCTCGAACCTCTAGGCTCAAGTGATCTTCCTGCCTCAGCCTCCCAAAGTTCTGGGATTACAGGCATAAGCCACCACAACTGGCTCCCTTGTACATTTTAAAATTCATTTGCTCCCCTGTTTTCTTCCTTAATTTTTACTATCTGGTTTATTTTTTAAAATCAGTATCTTTTTTTTTTTTTGAGACAGAGTCTTGCTCTGTTACCCAGGTTGGAGTGCAGTGGTGCGATCTCAGCTCACTGCAACCTCCGCCTCCCGTGATTCTTCTGCCTCAGCCTCCTGAGTAGCTGGGATTACAGGTGCACACCACCATGCCCAGCTAATTTTTTTGTATTTTTAGTAGAGACGGGGTTTCACCATGCTGGCCAGGCTGGTCTTGAACTCCTGACCTCAAGTGATCCACTCGCCTTGTCCTCCCAAAGTGCTGGGATTACAGGCGTGAGCCACTGTGCCCAGACTCAATGAGCTAATTCTATTTTCCTCACTCTCACTCCTTTCTCCCATATGTTACTTGTCTTATTTCAACTTCGTCATAACATAATAACTTTCGTACACTAGTCTTCCCCATTTGTCTCACTTTTGTTTTAATCTTAGATGTATACTTCTATGTTCTTAAATGCTCACAATCAGTCTGATTGCTAAAGTTTTGCCAGTCATCATTTGCTTAGATAACAGTGATTCTTGGCCAGGTGCGGTGACTCACGCCTGTAATCCCAGCACTTTGGAAGGCCAAGGCAGGTGGATCACCTGAAGTCAGGAGTTTGAGACCAACTTGGCCAACATGGTGAAACCCTGTCTCTACTAAAAATACAAAAAAATCTGCTGGGAGTGGTAGCGCATGCCTGTAATCCATACAATAGCTGGGATAATAGTAATCCCAGCTATTCTGGAGGCTGAGGCAGGAGAATCGCTTGAACCCGGGGAGGTGGAGGATGCAGTGAGCCGAGATTGTGCCATTGTACTCCGGCCTGGGTGACAAGAGCGAGACTGTGTCTCAAAACACAAAACAACAAACAAATATACAAACAAGCAAAAAACCCTGATTCTTTAGCAGATTCTTCAAGAAAGGCAGATAGGTACAGATTTCTCTCAGTTATCATCTGGTGAAAACTATGTTTCTTTAGCCTTGATATTTAAAGGACAATTTGGGTATAAAATCCTTGGATCACACTTTCTTTCATTTATTTATTTATTTTTAATAATGCCCATTGTTGCTTTGTTTGTATGTTGGCTTTGAAAAGTTTGATTCCAGACTAATTTTCTTGCTTTTTAAAGTTACCTAATATTTTTGCCTGGGGGGCTTTGGGATTTAATCTCTGTCTTTGAAATCTAATCATCTTCTTGGCCTAGCTCTCAGAGTTGATATTTCTGGGTTAGTTTACCCCTTCCCCTGGCAAGCCCGTTCACTAGGCATTTTTTTCATTTCTTCCTGCCATTCCTGTGAGTCATGAAATTATGCTCAGATCCTATAACTACCCAGATAGTTAGCTTTTGGAATCAGAAAAGAGCAATTCTTTTATTTAAGATATCAGTGTGCATGCTAAACACTAGACTACATTAGTTCTAACTAGCAACCTAAATATTGTACAGAGAAGCTGACTATAATAAGTGTTATGAAAATAAAAGACTGGAGTGGTGGTGCACACCTGTAATCCCAGCTATGTGGGAGGCTGAGGCAGGAAGATTGCTTGAGCCCAGGAGTTTGAGACCAGCCTGGGCAAAATAACAAGACCCCTGATATGATTTGGCTCTGTGTCCCCACCCAAATCTCATGTTGAATTCTGATCTTCAGTGCTGGAGGAGGGGCCTAGTGGGAGGTGATTGGATCATGGAAGTGGATATCCCCCTTGCGATAAGGCAGAGGGTCCGTTGAGCTGATGAACACACAAGCCATCGGCAGACGGCAAATCTACAAGAGTTTGGTAACACATGCCCACTTGGGCTTTGGGAGTCGAAGACACCCACCGTTAGATGCTGTTGTGGGCCAGAGCCCAAAAGGGCTTGGGTGGGCCTCTGCGCCTGCCCATCTGCATGCTGCCCTTAGGGGTCTGAGCTGCAGGGCAACCAAGCAGGCAACACCCCTGTCACATGTCCTATGAGGGGAATCAGGGAATTCTGTTTCATTAGAGCCTAAGACAAATTCTATTTGTATTACTAACCTGAGAAACATGAATGTGCTGCTCTTACACTAAAACACACAACAACAAAATCTTTCACAAGTTTGCATTCATATGAACTTACTGAAGTAGACAATATCTTCTTTAAATAAGGAATAGTATCAAATTTATTTTTACCTGGATTTAAACTCCCTAAAAATTCTAGCAGTGTGCATACTGCGCATTGCTGGCCTTAGAAACTGTGTGACATAATACATGTTTGTTGTTTTAAGCTGTTACATTTTGGGGGTAATCTGTTACACGGCAATAGATAATGAAAACAGTGAGATATAATCTAGATTACTTAAGCAGAGTATTTGGAAATTGTTGGTTGCCATGGCAGGGCATCCCAGGACTTACTGAGTAGTTCCAATTAAATCAATACATAATACATTGTTGGAGATAGAGTATCTCATGGCTTATAGTACAGTGTCTTGAAATACAGCTTCATCAGTGACAATAAGCATTTCCCCATCCTTGTCTCCTAGCGGCAGAGAGCCACTATGTCTGGATTATGAGAGCAGCTTCTCTGCATTCTCTGTTGGAAAATAAAGATGAACTTACTTACCTGTTTTTGAATTTAGGTGAATAATACCTTCTGTTCGTATGCTCATCGAACAACTCTGAATAATCACTTGGCTTTCCTGGTGCCTAGGAAGGAGTGTGGGGTGCCCTGGTTATGAAGTGTGAGCATTTAGGTCTGTGGATATTGTCCTAGCCAAAGGCCATCAGGACAGATCTGATGGACAGGACAGAAGTCCAATGAAATCAGGCTTATTGGCTCTTGGAAATGAGGGAGACTGCATGTCAATGGAACTACTGGGCATTTCACCAAGAAAGAAGAGATAAGGTTATGTGGTTTGGGGGAAGGGATGCCCTTAGGTAAAGTTTAAATGAAGCAATGTTTTGATGGAGTCCAGGCAAACAGGCTGTGGGTTAGGGTTCAGCCTAAACTGCAAAGTTCTCTATTTCTTGGAAATTAGGAAGTTAAGAAAGCTTTGCTGTGTTGTGTCTAGAAGCCCTTGTCTGCAGCCTATATCTGAGTGGGAGATTGAGGCTGCTTCTCCATGTTAAAAGACTTGAATACTCCAGGCAAAAGTGGAACATTTCATTTACACTGATTTGATTTCAAGCAGCTAAGTTTCTGACTGCATAAGACTTCAGAACAAGGTTTCTCACTGAGGCAGAAAGCAGAAATCACTCAAAACTGGGTTGGTGACATTTTACAGATGTAGCACGACCCTGGGAGAAACACTATTTCCAGTTAACTTTGCAGCTGCCTTTGTCTGCATTAGGCTAGCCTGATTGATAGCAGGGAAGATTTTTCCTTTCTCAATCTGACTTGATTTTTACTTTCTCAATAAAATGTCTGGAAGGAGAATTGTTTGGGTCTTTATAAAAATATCACCAGCTACTTTTGCAGAATATAGTACACCACTGATGAATACAATAAAACAATTTCCTCTTAAAAACCAAACAAAAAGGGCCAGGCGCAGTGGTTCACACCTGTAATCCAGCACTCTGGGAGGCCGAGGAGGGTGGATCACGAGGTCAGGAGATCGAGACCAGCCTGGCTAATACAGTGAAATTCTGTCTCTGCCAAAATACAAAAAAATTAGCAGAGCGTGGTGGTGGTCATCTGTAGTCCCAGCTACTCAGGAGGCTGAGGCAGGAGAATGGCGTGAACCCGGGAGGCAGAGCTTGCAGTGAGTGGAGATCACGCCACTGTACTCCAGCCTGTGTGACAGAGCGAGACTCTGTCTCAAAAACAAATAAACAAACAAAAAACCTCCAAAACTTTCATACTTTTTTTTTTTTTTTTAATCCAAACACTTTTAGGTCAACTGCATGATTCTTTCAAAAGTATCTTGGCCAGCTGCAGTGGCTCATGCCTGTAATCCCAGCACGAGGCAAGCAGATCACTGGAGGCCAGGAGCTTGAGACCAGCCTGGCCGACATAGTGAAACCCCATCTTTACTAAAAATACAAAAATTAGCCGGGCGTGGTGGTGGGTGCCTGTAATCCCAGCTACTCCAGAGACTGAGGCCCAAGAATCGCTTGAACCTGGGAGGCGGAAGTTGCAGTGAGCCGAGATCGCACCACTGCACTCCAGCCTGGGTGACAGAGCCAGACTCTGTCTCAAAAAAGGATCTATTAAAAGTGGCTTTCATATTAAGACAGATCCAGAGCTTGGTTTCAGAAGTAATTAAAATATAATAAATGACACAGGAAATGTGAAATGTGGTCGTTATAGAACAAATGCCTTAATTCCAAAACTAAGAGATCAATGCCCTGAAAATGTCTGTTAGGAGGCATGTCAGTCAGCGTCCAATTAGGAAAACAGACACTATTTCAAACAGTGGGGTTTAATCCAGGGGATTCGCTATAGAGAGGTTGGTAGGGAGGACAAAGCAAAAGACCCAAGAAAGGAAGGGGCAGAGCTGGGGCAGGGCCAAAGCTCCCCAGCCTGGCTAGAGGCCATCATGAGTCCACACTGAAGTTACGATTCTTGTAAGTATCATTGAATTAAAATCAAAATTTCAATCACAATCGAATACCAAAAAATACATAAACACGCCAGGGTAAGACTACTGGGTGGTAGTTGAGAGCATGAACCTGGGCTCACAATGGACCAATTATTACCCATGTGATTCTGGGCAGCTTCTGAGTTGGCAATTAGTGAGAATAGGAGGACCTGCCTCACAGGGTCCTCCTGAGGACCAGGGAAGACACGGATTGTGAAGGATGCAGATGGAGCCTGGTCTCTGTACGCTGGAGCTGCTCCTCCTTGAGCCTCCCTTGCTCCAGCCACTGTCGGGAGCAGGGAGAGGGTGGGGTGCTGAGAACGGAAGGAAGAGAAGGAAAACTCAAGGAGGGGAAAATAGGTCTGACCGTGTTCTGGAAAACCACAAAGCATTGAGAGAGAAAGGAGGTTACAGTCAGTCACGGGTTTAATACCTGCTCAGCCTCCTCCCTGGCCCTGGAAGCCCAGGAGCGCAGGTCTGTGAGCTTGCTGAGCCTCAGGTTTCTCATGTGAAAAACTGAAGCATTTCTTTCTTGCACGGTAGATGTGAACAGCAGATGAGGTTAATGTCTGCATCTAGCTCCTGGCAGGATGCTGGGCTCCGGGAAAGGCGAGGTTTCCAAGATGGAGCCACCAGGGGGCGCAGTGGTTCTTTGCCTTGGCTGCAGTGAAAAATTGCCAGGCTTGCAAACCCGGGAGTTGATCAGAAACTCCGAGAGGCTCAGCAGCTAATCTGGAAGTAGTTAGGAGGGTGGGAGACCTCAGTGAGGTGGGGTAAGAAGGCGAGGGAGGGAGTCGCGGGGGAGCAGGAAAAAAGCAAGCGTGTCCGTGAGGCTACCCACTGAGACCTGGGCGGGGGCTCTGGCCCAAAGCCCTCAGAAAACGAAATCATCCCTTCTTTCTACTCATTTGCTGAGCACCTACCAGGAGTCAGAAACGGCCGTGTGCAAAATCAGCCCCTCCACTGGCTCCCAGTCTTGCTAAGGAGACTGACACGTGGACAAATGTCACCTATACGATATGCAAATGAGAAGTCCTATAATGCCACCAGGTCTAGTAACCTTTATGGCATACCAGGCATTGCATAATAATCCCATTTTACACGGGATGAAACTGAGATTCGAAGGATTCACTCATTCCCGAAATTCGCAAAGCTAAGAAACAGTGGATTCAAGCTACGTTAGTCTGTTATAAAGCTATGATCGTGCTTTGCAGGTCATTCCTCCTCCGGTAAAGCAACACGAAACAACCCTACTCCTTGAAAGTTCATGTCGGTAGCCCTCAGCAGTAGCGACAAGCAGGATGGCAGCACCCTCCCCTACTCCCATGGCTCCCAGTCAGCCTCTTCCCTCCTCTCTGCTGGCCTCGCCCTCCTGCTCACCTTCACTTTGACTGCGGCATCTGGCTCACCCCAGCCACCACGTTCCCGGTCACCTCCACCGTCCAGTGCCACAGCTTCAGCCTGGCCTTGTCATTGCTATCATCTCTCTGGAACTGGGCGTTCACATGTCTCACTGTGGACAATGCTGGGCCTTCCAGGTCGTGGTCTCAGGTCCCCTCCTGCAGCTGTCACAGCCTCCTGCTGCCTGTACTACCTTCCTTCCCACCCCAGCTGCTCTTAGAAAACACGCTAAACGGCTGGGCGCAGTGGCTCACGCTTGTAATCCCCGCACTTTGAGAGGCTGAGGCGGGTGTATCACCTGAGGTAAGGAGTTTGAGACCAGCCTGGCCAACATGGTGAAACCCCGTCTCTACTAAAAATACAAAATTAGCCGGGTGTGGTTGCGCGCACCTGTTATCCCACCTGCTCGGGAGGCTGAGGCAGAATTACTCAGAACTCGGGAGACAGAGGTTGCAGTGAGCCAGGATCACACCATTACACTCCAGCCTGGGTGACAGAGCAAGACTCTGTCTCAAAAAAAAAAAAAAAAAGAGAGAAAACACCTTAAATGCCTCCTCGTTTCCCCTTCTTCCATCACACCTGTCTCTTCCTGGGATGAGTCTGGACCCGCACCTGCCCATATCCAGGCAGGGAAACCCTGCCCTGCAAAACCAGGCAGGAGGAGGAAGGGGCTGCGGCCACTGGAGGAGTTCTCCAGGGATTGAGGGAGCGCTCACTGGAGACAGCCCAGTTCTCCAGGAGCATATAGGAGAGGGTGGGAGACAGCTGTGGGGAAAGCCCTGCTACAGGGAGGGCCTAGTCAGGGACGGCAGCCCTTGGATTTAAGGTCAAAGCAATCCTTGTGAATGTTATTCAGCTGCAGAGATGAGGACTGAATTTATCCAGGCTGGAGTTCACCACGTGGTTCTGATGAAAACAGCGGGGATACTGGCTGAAGGGATGAGGCATTGAATCTACAGAATGATGACCTGGGGTCCAAACGTACTTGTTTACTTACTGTTTAGAAACCATTTGTATCTCGAGTGCAGGGCCTGGCCGTGTTCTCCACTGCAATCCCATCCCGTCCTCGGTCACCTTCCTGAGCAAGTGCTCTGGCGGCAGGGGAGAAAGGCTGGAAGGACAGAAGTGTGGGTGGAGATGTCTGAGTGCATGGTCAGAAGTGGGTCACCCTAGAGATGGCCGGCTCCAGGGCGTGGCCCAGGATGTGGGAGACAGAGGTGGCGTCGAGGGAGGGGTGCCAACCTCTCCCAGTGTGCTAGGATTTTCCTGACTTTACCACTGAAAATCCCACGTTTCAGGAACCTCCCCATTCCTAGGTGAACCAGGCCATTTGACGCCCTAAGTGGAGGACAAGAATATCCTGGAGAAGCCAGGATGTTGGCAGGTGGTCTGTGGAAGCTAGAGTCACCCAGGATTGACCTCGTGGGCACACATCATTTTTTGCCACACTTTCTATGTGTGACCCCTTGTGCTTTCATCAGTGAGATGGGGCTTCATCAGTTTCTTCATCAGTGAGATGGGGCTTTTTCCTAGCCCTGAACTCCAGGAATAACAATTATGTTGAAAATGGCAAATATTTTCAAGGGCAGGAATACCAAAGCGTGGCTACGTTGGCATTTTCGAGTCTGCCAATTAGGTGCATTTTACCCTTAAGAAATCAACAAAAGTAACCCAGCTAATTCTTTCTTTTCTTTTTCTTTTTCTTTCTTTTTTGTATTTTTTTGAGACTGAGTTT